GGGATGAGCCCAGTTTTCCCCGTAGCGCCAGCCATTGTGCTGCTTGGAGAAGCCTTTCTTTACCCCAACAGACCCGGGGGGGTGGAGAGGAGGGGGATGTGAGATGAGGGTGAGTGGAGCAGCAGGAGGAGGGGGACGGGGTGGGGGGTGGGGAAGCGGAACCGCAAAGGGGTTGCTGACTTCTGTGCAACAAAATACTCTCTTTCCGTGGCAATGGGAAGCTGGCACAATCCTGTATACTGACTGCTTTTGCTGAGTAGCAGTGGGAAACTGCCGTGGATCAGTGGAGGGCAGATTTTAGGGATGAGGTGTGGTGAGGAGATAGAAATCAACTGATCTATGGGGCAGGTAATTGGAAGAAGGGGGAGATGGAATGGGGCCTCGGTGCAGGTGCAGAGGCCCAGCAGGGGGAAGCATGGTGAATTCTCTACTGCTCCCCCTCCACTCTGCTCAGCTCAGCAAAGCAGGGAGTGAAAATTTGTACTGCAGCCCCAAGCTGCAGCTAGTGCATCGTTATGCTGCAAAGGAGAGGCTTATGTGTTTCCTACAGGGTCTCTGTTAAGCTCAGAGCCTTTTTTTCTCTTCCAAATTACACCATCTATTGGGAGCCAAAATAAATGCAATAGATTATAGGACATAATCAAACTATAGTCCTGCACTCTGTTCTAGGATAAGAGAAAAAGACAAGGTGACCTTTCGGTGGTTCCCTTTTTCTGCCACTCTTCATGTATTTTTAAAAAATTGATTTTGGAAGTATAGAGAAAGAGGATAAGCAATCAATTGTATTACCCCTCGCTTTTAAGGGGGGAGGCCTCTAGGATGAGCTGTGAATGAAGACATGGGCGGGTGAGCCAGGATGCAAGGGTAGGACATTTCAGTGGGGGTGCAAAGGCACCCCACCAAGAGAGAAGAGCAAAAGAAAGTGAGCTAAAGGAAGGAGACAAAGGGCACAGGTTCAAGAAAGGCTGCCAGCCCCAACCCAGAGACCCCTCCTTGAGCCAGGCTCTCACGGCCTCTGCCATAGTCTGGGGTCTTTGTACAAATACCCGGCTCAGTCTGGGTATTGAGTGATATCCAATTCCCAGTGCAGGCTTTCAGTTTTGGTTTCATCTCCAGGTGGTCATTCATGCAGAGCTTCTTGGCTCTTGGGAAGTGAGTTGATGAAAAGAAAGCTGGCTATATTATGGATTGTTCAAATGGCCACATTTCTGAACTCTAGAGCTGTGATATCCCGTTCTTTTAGCATCATCTGGGTGAATCCATTTTCTAGAGGCTGCCTGGGCTGAGCATAGGTGCTTTGAGCATAACCTTCCTGTTGACAACACCCAAAACTCAATCTTTGTCTTAGATGCTGATTGGATTGCCCTTTTGTTGCTGGCTAATAATATAGTTTGTGCCATTTCGAATTAGTATCCCATTGGTATCACCTATTCATTCTGGCTCCCCCTTCTCTCCTAGGAGAAGAGTACAAGTCTAAAGGAAGTGTAAATATCTCTAACATCATGTCTTTCTGAAATGGGGCCAGTGATCCAAGAAGCTTTCACCAAATAAATTGAAAATAGCAGGGGTACCTTAGTAAAAAAAGGTGATAAATTTTATTCAGCAGTTCTCCCATTTGATCAGCATGTAAAGCATTGCACATAGACTATCATGGCAGGGGGATTTTGTTTTGTTTTGTTTTGTTTTTACTTGAAACACCCTCCCCCTACATTTGCTGTGAAACTAAGTTATCCTCATTTTCCTAAAATCATTGACATTTATCAAACACCACATATGCAATACATTGTGTTTAGCACTGCCAATGATTATTTTCATTACTCTGCAAAATAACCTTCAGCTTAAATACTGTTTTAAACCTCATTTTATGGATGAGGAAACCATGGCACAAAGAGGCTGATAATTTGCCCAAAGTCTCATCGCTAGGAAGTGATAGGACCAGGATGGGAACCTGGAATCCAGGCTCTTAACCATCACAGAGTCCTGCTCTGGTCAACCCAAATCCCCCATCTGTAAAACCTTCCTTGCTCCCTACTGCACTCTGTGATCTTTTCTCAACTCCCTTTGGCACTCAGGGATGCTTAATCTTTTTTGTGCTATTGGCCCCTTTTGACAATGTAGAGAAATCTATGAGATTCTCCTCCAAATATGTTTTTAAGTGCATAAAATATAGTTATATTCAAAGAGCCCTTTAGGGGTCTGTAGACCCTAGGTGAAGAACACCTGAGTGGCAATTAGTTATGTATTGCTTTATAGCTGTGCTGTCCACTCTGGTAGTCCCAAGCGACATGTGGCTAGTTCAAGTGGAAATGTACTGTGAATACACACTGGAGTTCAAAGAAGTAGTATGAAAAGAGAATGTAAAATGTTTCATTAATATTTTAAAATATAGATTATATATTGCAATGCAATCTTTTGGACATATTGGATTTAATAGAATACATTATTAAAATATATTATTACAATTAAGATTATCAATTACACTAATAAGTTATTAAAATTAACTTCCAGAGCTATTAGCTCTATACCAACACCTTCACTGTAACAAATGAGAAAATTGGAACCCATGATGCTTGTCACTCAGCCACACATTGGCAGGTAGGTCTGTTGGCTCTTGAGCATATGTTATTTCCAAGATGTCATAAGGTCCCAACATGTTGCCTTTGCACCCTGTAAATACTCGGAATATATTTTGATGTGATGCAACGGTAATTGGCTTCCTCCCAGTACAATCCTGGTAAGAGCTGTCTGAGTCCCCACCTGGCATGGCCTTTGCCTCACTTACTTAGAGTTTAAGTTTTATAGACAGAGATGGAGAATGGCACTTTCAGGGCAAAACCCATTATTTTTGCTGTCTGTTCAGTTCTCCTCGGTAGTGGTTCCAATTTAAGCATCTAACTGGATCAGAAATTACACAGACAGGAGAGAAAAGTTTGGTTGCCTTTCCGCATTACAGGGAAGAAAGTGGAGTATGTAGAGAAGGGCATGACAGACAGTAATGCTGTGCTGCCTAAAATTGGAAATGAAAAATGTATGTGGGGGACAGATGATCATTTTTCAATGAACACACATTGATTGATTGCCTAGCCGCAGAGCAGTGTGTACAGGATGGAGCGATGCAGGATGTCCAGAGGACGTCTGTGCCCTCGAGGAATTTAAATTAAAATTGGGGAAGGGCTTGGATACACACACAGTTGGATAAATCACAGTGGAAGGCAGTGTCTGAAGAGGGCCTGGAGCTCAGGAAATGAAAGTAGGCCTGAGTGTGCAGCTTTCCAGGATGTGGTGTCCAAGATGGTCATGGAGGCTGACCTTGGAGCACATGGGTAGTTGGGTCTATCTCTTTCAGGATAACCAGTCATTTAATCCATTCCTTTAGCCCCAGACATAAGCTCTGTATCTTGGAAAAGCTCAGGTGCTTGTTTTTGAGGGTAGTCATATCTAGGTCCATGCATCCCTATCCCAAACCCTTGGGGCCAGGCATTTTAGAAAGCAGTAATAGAGTGTGAATTCTGCATATCATTTCCTGGAGATTGGGGCAGCAATCAGTATAATTTAAAAAATTATTATTTCTGCAGCAAAACACACTCAATGGGATAAATTGAAACCATAAGCAATTTTATATTCATGTAGATTAGGTTTAGTTGCCAAGTGAGTATAGGTCAAGTTGGTTTTTGCCACCAAATAAGTTATGAAAGACTTCCGGTTTTCAGAGCACATGGTTAAGGATGTGGACTTATGGCAATAATAATAATAATTATTAATAACAATTATTATGATTATTATTATAAACAGAGAACATATGGGACAACAATGATGTTTATTATCTGCCAGCCACTGTTCTAATCACTTACCTGTATTTTTACTTCTTTCACCCTTAAGACAATCCCTTGAGGATTATTATTTCTGTCTCGAGAAGAATAAAGAGAGGCACAGAGAATTAAGTAACTTGCTAAGGTCAAGTGTATGATAGCGAGGAAGTACAGAAGTGACGGATGCCTGGAAAGTGGAGTCTTCCTTTTTCAGAGGGATACAGACTAATGGATTATGTGGTTATGGTTCCTCAGCAGAGGCGGCACAAAAGCCTGGTCCAAGCTCACATTACCTTGTTTGTTTCTCCTAGATCAACGAATCCTGAAAGTCACAGTTGTCCTATTGCTGTGAGAGAATGGAGGCTCCACTGGTGAGTTTGGATGAAGAGTTTGAGGACCTTCGACCCTGCTGCTCGGAGGACCGGGAGGAGAAACCACAGTGTTTCTATGGCTCATCTCCCCACCATCTAGAGGATCCCTCCCTCTCTGAGCTTGAGAATTTTTCTTCGGAAATAATCAGCTTCAAGTCCATGGAGGACCTCGTGAACGAATTTGATGAGAAGCTCAATGTCTGCTTCCGGAACTACAACGCCAAGACGGAGACCCTGGCTCCTGTGAAGAACCAATTCCAGATCCAGGAGGAGGAAGAGACCCTGCAGGATGAGGAGTAAGAAGTCTTAATTGCCCTCTGTTGCTTCAGACATGAGCCCTGTAGTCTGGGGCTCTTTGACATAGAACTCGTGTCTGTGGGTTCATGGCATATCACTTATGCTTTCATGTCAGTGGGGCAGGGCCCTGGTAATTGCTGACATTATTCTATGATGTCCCTTTACAGGGACCTGGAGAGTTTTCTAAAATTGAAATCTTAGAGGAATGAAGACTTTTTAGAAAATAGATTTTCTTAGGTACAAAATAGAATTTTAGGAGCATGATCCATTTTAGGGTCCATCTATCTTCTGTTTCTTTGTATCAGTAGTAATCCACCCAGATATTAGAAATAAGGATCAGAAAAGAAATTAATTAACTGTGACGGAGGAATCTGTCACTGGAACAATTTGCTTCAAGAAACACCAGAATTATGAAAATCTCCAAACTGTTAACAAATCCCCCCTCAGGACTGGAAAATCATCTACAAATGTTAAGATATATCCAAATAAGAAAGCATACAAATTGAACTGACAGCCCAGGGGATTACCTTGGGCCAAAATAAAGGTGATAATTAGGTGACATGGCTTTTGAGTATACAGATTCCCTGTGTCACTTACTAGTCCCCTTTTAAGGTCTTAACAGTAGTCAAGAAAAGGGATTTGAGAAAACTGCTGTTTGAGGAGGGACTAGAAAAAGAAGAGGATAATTTGTAACATAAATTAAAGAAGGGTGTTTTGGGCACTTAGTAAAAATAGGCCTGAATTCCCTGTAGAGATAAAATATGCATCAATTGTTCTTTCTTTCTTAAAAAGGTGAGTTGGGTTGTTTTTTTTGTTT